AACGAAACGAAGTCGATTTTCCCGCTCAACCTGGAGGACAACTGTACAATTCAATAACTATACGGCCTGGTTCAGACAATGGGTGTAATTATGTATATATATCAAATATTTAACTGTTGAAACATTATTAACTTGTAGTCAATCTACGATTTGATATTATATCATACTTGATCGTGCCTGTAGAAATGGCATGCATTTTCATGTAAATTTATATGTTTATATGAAAATACACATTATTATTATTAACCGACTACGGCTAGTGTTCTTCAAGGTGTTGTTCTTTCTTTTCTGTTTTCTTTCTTCTTACATGACTTGCCTCAGTCTGATGAAACTAATTTTGTTAGGCATGTCGATTATCTGACTGTTTCTATACTCGTTACTTCTCACTCAGATGAATAACTTTTTATCAGAGGTCAGTGTGGGGCCCACATCAAACCTCTTTAACATTATTATAGCTTGATTCCACATAGCATTTCGGTACAACTGTGTAATTTTCATCATGTGATATCGGTAGCCCAAATTTAGCAGGCCGAACAATTGATATCATGCGTGCGTCGGCTGGGGATAGTCCCTGGACTATGTTTAGGGTCGGCGAGCGTCCTAAACGCTTTGCCACCGACTCCAAAATATGGAAGGCTTCACGATTTTGCGTATCATCCTTGCTCAGGGGCTATGCTAATCTTCCTTGTATCGTTCCAATTTTAGTATATGTACTGCCGAAGCGAGTCTTGAACTCAATATCTCCAAACGTCAGGTTGTTTGTCAGCCACGTCTCGTAAACCGTTAATGCCCAGCTCTTGCTACGCTCGGGCTCACGCTGTTCCTTGAAGTTTTTCAGAAACGCTCAATAATAACGGACGCAAAAACCAAAACACCGATTGGCCGCTCGAGAATCCTTTATTGTAACACCAACATATAAAAAATAATTCCACTAAGGTTTCTGACGGTTTACTGCCGACTTCTTTCTGAACAGCGACCGATAAGACGATGACTGTCGTATTGATGCCTCCGCGAAAATTGGGGAAGTTGGTTTTGAGCAAACAACCATGAATTGATCGTTCAATCTTCAACTGCATTGACATTGTTAATTTCGCTTCCAAATACAAATGTCAGCTGGTCGTTTAGCCTGGTTTCAATAATATACGTGCTACAGTAAACCAGTTGGCTATGCTGCTTGAATGATTTTGAACTCGTTTCTAGTTGGTTTGGACCAGGCAGTGTTCTCGATTCATGTGTGTCCATCATTCCCGCTAGACCTGGGTGCTAGCCACATTACCTGCTGACTCCTTAGCCTAGCTCACCTCACTTCGTGGCCTGGCTGCCCTTGATATCACCCCAACTAGTCAAAGGAGAGCATAACACTTATGGTCGGTGAGGGGAGTATTTATGGACCATGGTTTGGAGAGTGTACAATGAGAGGAGGGAGGGTGGCGTTAGCTGATCAGTAGATATGGTGGGGGTCACTAAGGTGAATCGCCCCATTCTGCAGGAACAGCAATATACAATTTGAAGGCTCGAGATATTTCCGATTTTTGTGAGGGCTTACATCTTTATCTTGAAAAAGATAATAATGAACGCCTAAACAGATCATGCTTCTACCTTTAAATATATACCATTCACTCAGCCTATTGTTGAGATGCGACCATGTGGGCTCTGCACAGATTTATGGGGCATCTTATAAACTAACTTGCTGTCCATTGTCGGATCTTTAAATACCACTTCACAGTGTCTTATCAGATACATTTTCTAATAACGTCTTTACTTGATCCTCATTATATTCCATTAAACCTAACATTTTATAGCTCTTTATTTATTTGATTCGACTTATTCTATTCCTATTCTCTGTAGGGTACGGTTGTGCACCAAATGCACAAAAAGGTATAAAATAAAAAACCGTCATGAGGAAAAATGTATCAAAACCAAAAGTGGACATCATGATAGTACGAACTATACGGGAAGCATTATACATTGCAAATGAACGTTGTCAGCCTAGGGAGTTTCCTTTATTAATGCATTTATTAGTGATACTTGCACTTACCCATTTCATTACACTTTACTGATTCACCTTAGCACTTTTACTTTTCTAAAACAGCTTTCGATCCCTTGTAAACGTTGTGCTTACCTCAATATTGGTTGGTTATCGTATGCCGACAACCATGGGATGAAAACGAAACGAAGTCGATTTTCCCGCTCAACCTGGAGGACAACTGTACAATTCAATAACTATACGGCCTGGTTCAGACAATGGGTGTAATTATGTATATATATCAAATATTTAACTGTTGAAACATTATTAACTTGTAGTCAATCTACGATTTGATATTATATCATACTTGATCGTGCCTGTAGAAATGGCATGCATTTTCATGTAAATTTATGTTTATATGAGTATATATATTATTATTATTATAAAGGCGGAGCTGCCGAGCCTTTTCTCCTTGAAAATTTTATTGACTACCCTATGTTCCTGCCTGCATACCAAATGAATGGACTTTTATTTTTAAATATCCGAGGTTCGTTTTATTTGAATTGTTATTTCACCCGCTACAATTCAACAGAATTGGAAACTAAGTCAAATCTTATATTACTTGAACTCCTTATTTCTTCCCATCTTTCTTGATCTTCCATCATCTTTTCAGCAGCCAGAAAAAGGTTTCGTTTAAAGTTCGTCGTGAGGGAGTTAAAACGATCTAATATCTGCTACTACAGTTTTTTAAATTCTTGTTTGTTTCCTGTAATTTTCCACCTCTCCTTCTTAGTCCTTCATGTGCTACTTAAGGAAGACATGCAGTATGTTCTGAATGGTAGTGTGAACCGCTTTTGACCTATGTCAGAAATGAAGCATAAACGTTAAATTTCACCTTTACAAGTGTCCGACTCCGCAGTTTTCCGCATACGCCTGCTGGTGTCCTGAGATTACTATGCATATTCATGACAGCTGTTGTAATTTCACATTGGATTGGATTGAAATGAGAATCTGTGGCACCGATTAACCAATTGTGTGTTACAGATTCATTAGCTCCTTAAAAAGTTAAATTTGTAAATAATTATATTTGTAAAATATCAGCGATAGTGAAATGAGTAATTCCAACGTTTCGTTCGGCAATCTGGTCCAAACTTCTTCAGGGAAATTAATCGAAATTAACATAACAGGTTTATATATAAAAGGAACATCTTTTCTTTTTAAAAACTTTGTCCAATCATGATTCATAAAACAAATAATAACAAGTATAATAAACAAAATTGTATGAGTTGTGATCAAAATTTGACCTCAGACTTACAAATATTGATCTACCTTTGTTAAACACTTTAAACACAGTATGTAAGTGTGTGTGTGCGGATAAACAGTTGTAAAATAATGTCTTAATGTCTCCATAAGTAGATATAGACAGTCGGGAAACTTTGACCAAGTATTATTAGTTAGTGATACACATCCGTTCTTATTTATTAATCAGGATTTCCTATGCGTCATCTAACATCACACCTTCACGCCCGTTCAGACTGTTAGTATGTAGAATTTTATGATTAGACGTATTTTCACTAACTAATAATACTTGGTCAAAGTTTCCCGACTGTCTATATCTACTTATGGAGACATTAAGACATTCTTTTACAACTGTTTAGCCGCACACACACACTTACATACTGTGTTTAAAGTGTTTAACAAAGGTAGATCAATATTTGTAAGTCTGAGGTCAAATTTTGATCACAACTCGTACAATTTTGTTTATTATACTTGTTATTATTTGTTTTATGAATCATGATTGGACAAAGTTTTTAAAAAGAAAAGATGTTCCTTTTATATATAAACCTGTTATGTTAATTTCGATTAATTTCCGTGGAGAAGTTTGGACCAGATTGTCGAACGAAACGTTGGAATTACTCATTTCACTATCGCTGATATTTTGCAAATATAATTTTTTACAAATGTCTACTTCTCACTCGGCGCCCAAATATTATAGAACTATTCTGTCAAATCTTGACTACAGTTCATTTGAAAGTTAAATTTGCATTGAACACAGTCATTTTAAGGAGACACTATATGGTTTCCGCCTAGTTGATACTGACAGTATTTTTCCAGCCTCGGTACCATAACTGCAGTTCACTTTGCATTAAAATATCCAAACAATATCAGTGTTACCTTCAGAAAACAATGTTTATTTCTCTACCTTTAATTTGTCTAAACAGGCTCAAATCCAATGGCAATCGAAATTTTAGTTTCAACATATGTGAGACCAAGATATAGAGAAGTACAGTCGACAGAATTATTAAACACATCTGGAAATCAACATTTTCTGTGGAAAAACTCGTATTCCATAGTGAGGTAAAAGGACGTAAAAGGACGACAAAATCTCATAGGTTCTTTCCAGAAACTGACTTTTCTACCAAAATAACCATCCAGAGTGCCGACCAACGACTTATAATATTGTAGAAGACCAATGATATTCATGAACCTGTATTTTCGAAGGCACAACAGAAGCAAAGGGAAGTGGGGCATACCTAGTCATGCAAACGGAAGGGTGTTAATCACTAAATAGAAAAAGAAAGCCTAATAAATCATTAAGAAGGTGTATTTCCTACTTGGTTTCTCATTCTGTCCTTTTGGATTTCTCAACTGCTTATTACACATAAGTGCCCATAGCATACCATGTTGTAAATGTCCTACATCTTCCAATATTAGTTTGTTTACGATATTCTTTGATAGATGACATTTCGAACAAAATTTATTCTTCATACTCTCTGCGTTATATCTTAACATCTGAGGAGGCACAGAGGGAGGCTTTAAAAGATGAGGAACTATGTCCTCGTGGTGTGCTGGCTGTTTCACCGAGTCATTAACTCTTTATGTCTGCGGCTTCTGTAGACGAGTATGGGAGAAGATTAGGCAAAAAATACTTATTAAAAAGAACTCACATAAAGCTTCAGGTTTCTACCCTCTACCGAAAATGCTGAGGTTTGAAATCTGAAATTTTGAATATTGAACATCCTGCACGCTTTGGATTTGTGGTGGCAAGTATAAGGCGGGAGCTACTAATCAATGTGATGTTCGTGCTTATTTCTATGAAAGATACTGTGATAATTAGACCCAGCTACTTCGGGTCAGATATGAAGGAAATCATAGAACAAGAGCTAAATGCTCGCTTTTGTGGAAAAGTAGGTATTTTTGTTGAATTATATTGCTTTTACTCATATTCTTGCACATTTGGCATTCAGCAACGTATCCAACATCGTTTTTACGAGCTAGTATAAACCAATTTGATTTCTTTGTGCTCGCTTCTTGATTGTAAGGTATAGGTTCTTACAGTTTCATATAGTTTCTATTTTGAGAAGAAATTAGAACAACTGTCGAAAGTTGTGTCTGTAGTTCTAAGTTGACTATTAGTCGATTGTACCAGACCTCTCACATGTTCTGAAATCTTAATTTGTGGTTTGGAATATTGTTAATCGGACTGTCCACTCGTATATGATAGAATTAACCTGCATATTTGAAAATTGTATAATCGGCTTCTCTTTATTTAATCTTGAGTCTACTGGAATAATAACTGAACTCAATGAAATGTGAATGTATTGCAATATGCACTCAATGCCTGTTCAGCATTGCTTATCATCCATTAATAATGAAATTTCTGAAGATAATTTAATGCTGTGTCACTGCAATAAACGATCTATTTCTCGAAAGTCGATCCATAGGTTAACATATTACTAAACTTATCACTAATTTGTTAAACAGTGTGAAGTCATTATGTGTATAAATCTTTTAGGTCATATATAAAGTCGGTCTGTGCGTTTCATTATGGGACATTTTAAAAGTTGAAGAAAGTTTCATATCAGATGTGGACGGTGCTTATTACACTGCAGGTAATCAATTTTTTCTTAACATATCTGAGTTTCTTGTTTTAAGTGACCTTCCGCATTGTTTGTTTTCGTCCATTTATTGATGAAATTCTTATTGGCATCGTGAAATCTGTTTCAAAAAGTGGTCTTCGTGTATCACTTAACTTTTTTGATGACATTCTTATACCTGCCGAGAAACTACGGTCACCATCAAGATAGTAAGTTGTCCATTCCCATAATATATACCTAATCGTAGTGATTATGAACATAATGCATGGATATGGGAATATGCTTATGAAGGTGAAACAGCTGAATTACGCATCGATAAACATGATACTATACGGTAAGTTTTGAGGTGTGAATTTAAATCAAACGAGGTATTTCATGTTTGTATTGCTATGATGGAATAAGTTGATTGAGACTCAATAACTTTGTGAATTCATGTAGTAAAGTAAAAGCCATGTTTTCAGCTGATTAGCGTTAATTTCTGAGTAGTGTAACCTATTTTAAAAAAAGAGTGCTTGCTGGTGGAATTCGTCCCTTTTTCTTCATTTACTGGAGAAATTTAACCGACTAGTCATACAAGGTAGTTAGTTGTTCAACGGTTCTTAATATTACCGGTATTTGTGCATCACAACGTACTCCATCGGCACGCAACCAACTCTGCTCATGTCTCAGTTTTCGTAAGTCTTTTGTGGGGAATCAAAGTGTTTGATATGCTAGTTTTATACACCTGTGTTTACATATTACTCCCATAATCATTTTGAACGTGTTTCGATTAATATTAAAGGTAGAGTTTATGCAAAACGATAAAGAATTAATATAACTGTACAACACTGTGTGATTTATCAAAATAAAATCTTATCCCTAGTGGAGTTATACTCTGCCATAGTGCCCAAGTTTTATACTTATATCAAGAATTATTGCTGATAATCATATCGCATTATTCACACATATAAAATCAAACATTCTAAGGATGAACATTGCAGAGGTGTAGTCAGATGTAGATTTCAACGGTTTCGTTGCCTTGTTCCGACTAAGTGCGTCGACTTCATATTGAAGTTTGGACTAAAAGTGTCTAGAAAGTGTGTCAATTTATTTATTTATTTAAACGCATAAAAAAGCTTGGTACAATATGGCACCAAGAAAGATGCGCCACACAATAATAATAAAACAACATAGATCAAAAGAAACAAAGGAGGGAAAAGAAAAATATATATATAAGTAGAGAACGGAAAAAGAACTTCATCTGGAAGGAAAACACTCATGCTTAACAAGTTGAAACAGTGTTCGTTAACTATCATCGGGAAGGGAAGAGAGAGGGAAATCGCAACACATTCGCCATTGATTACGATTCTTGGCCATATCCGATAACGTTTCGAGCCATCGATTTGAGTTATCCCTCGGACCCCAACCAGGGAGTCGTGACACACCAACCGATGCTAATCTAGCACAAATATCCTTCATCCCACGACGCCGCGTCATGGACTGACCACTTCTCCGCCCTTTCCATCCCGTCCCAGGGTTGGCTAGCGAACAGAGACCTGTACGGAAGCCTCTGGGGTGACATTCGCAGTACATGTCCAAGCCACCGAAGCCGGTGCTTCCAGATGACGACATTCAATGAATGGTGATCTCCACTGTGTTCAAACACACGCCGCCGAACCTCAGAATTACTCACGCGATGATGCCATCGAACACAAGCAATCCTGCGGAGACAGCGATGATCGAACACGCAGAGTCGCCGCACATCCTCAGCTCGTAGAGGCCAGGTTTCACAGGCGTAGAGCAGCGCAGCCCGCACCGAAGCATTGTATACCCGACCTTTGACAGCCAGACTAACGTCGCGACGGCGCCAGAGGTGGCTCAAGTTGATGTATGCCACCCTAGCCTTCATTATACGGTTGGAAATCTCATTCGTCACCTCTCCGCCAGCACTCACACAACTACCCAGGTACACAAACTTATCGACAACTTCAAGCGGTTCACCCACAAGAGTGAGTGCAGGTACAGGCTCCTGCCAATCTTGTAACAGTATTTTGCACGTAGACGGCGCAAAGCACATACCATACTTACAGACACTGATTGCCGACTGATTAAGTGCGATTTGCGTAGCCTGCATGCTATCGCACAGTAAGACGATATCGTCTGCATACTCGAGGTCGAAAAGTCTATCTCCAGGTAGCAGATCTACACCACCTTCACGCACATCCTTCAGAGCTGACTCCAGAATGTCATCGATGGCAAAGTTAAAGAGAAATGGAGAGATTGGGCAACCGTGTCTAACCCCACTGTTGGTTGGGAACGGTGGTGATACTTGGTTGTATGCCCTCACTCTAACTGAGGTGTTGCTGTATAGGGCTTTCAAGATGTTAACGAATTTCTCAGGTACACCTCTCTCTAACAGCTCCAGAGCACAGTTCTGTCCAACGAATCGAAGGCAGCCCAAATATCAAGAAACACAACGATCGTTGGCCTGCAATACGTGTGGCGGTGTTCCAACAACTGACGAAGGGTGAACACATGATCAATGCATCCACGACCTGAACGAAACCCGGCCTGCTCTTCGCGAATCAATCCTTCACGTATTTTGCACAGTCTGCGAAGCAAGACAGCAGCCAGTATTTTAGACGCAACTGGTAACAGACTGATACCCTTATAGTTGTCACACGAATTACGTCGACCCTTTTTAAAGATGGGGACGATAATGGCTTCATTCCACATTGATGGTACGCTCTCTGTCTCCCACACCTTCCTGAACAACCCAGTTAGAGCCATTGTGAGAGTCTCGCCACCATCTTTAAAAAGAGCCGGGGGTAATTTGTCTGGGCCGGGCGCCTTATGGCGTTTCAGAACTTGGAGTTCCTTACGGACCTTCGCTTCGGTGGGTGGGTCGATACTAACCGACCAAGGAGCACTCGGGCTAATGATAGTAGACACTGAAGCTGGTGGCCAGCTGAACTGCTTCCCGAAGTGCTCTGCCCAGCGTTCCAGGCGTCTTTTCAGGCTGGTAATTGGAGTGCCATCTGCCTCACAGACCGTCTCGCCGACACCTTGTTTCTTGCTGCCGGTGGCTCGTATGAGTTGGAACAGCTTCCGACTGTTGCCAGATGCAGCAGCTGACTCCATCTCACAAGCGCGTTCTGGCCACCAGACTTCGCGGTCCTTACGTAAACACTGTCTAATCTTGCACGTGAGCGCCTTTCGCTGATTGTTGTATTCGCTGCCAGCCGGAATGGACCGGCGTTTATCCAGGAGTTGCAAGGAACTCGCAGAAACCCAGTGGCGGTTAGCGGAGCATTCTTTCAAGCCGCAAGCGGCTACACTCGCCGTGTCAAACAAAGTAATATAACGTAGAACTTGTTATTAGCTTTGTTTATCCAGGAATACAATTTTGAAGTGGTTAGTACCTTTCAGGAATAAGACGCAGGTACATTAACATTAAATGCACCTATATAGAATATCAAAGACATCTTGTCTGTCGCAGCACCTACTTTACTGAACCGCAAAAATATCAGGAGGTAAAAATGGGTCTGAGATTGCATGAGGATGTACGGTGGCTATGCGTATTCGATCATCGCTGTCTCCGCAGGATTGCTTGTGTTCGATGGCATCATCGCGTGAGTAATTCTGAGGTTCGGCGGCGTGTGTTTGAACACAGTGGAGATCACCATTCATTGAATGTCGTCATCTGGAAGCACCGGCTTCGGTGGCTTGGACATGTACTGCGAATGTCACCCCAGAGGCTTCCGTACAGGTCTCTGTTCGCTAGCCAACCCTGGGACGGGATGGAAAGGGCGGAGAAGTGGTCAGTCCATGACGTGGCGTCGTGGGATGAAGGATATTTGTGCTAGATTAGCATCGGTTGGTGTGTCACGTCTTCCTGACTGGACTCCGAGAGATAGCTCGAAACGCTATCGGATATGGCCAAGAATTGTGACCAATGATGAACGTGCTGCAATGAAAAGAAAACGGTTGCACTAAAGGGGAAAATTCCCTTCTGATGAACTTATCAACTAGGCTGTAAGTTCGTGAATGTATAAAGAGGGAATGAGGAAACTCCACAACTACTTGCGGTCAGAGATCGAAATATGACGGAGGACAAAGTTTTGCGGTATGATAGTTATTGCTTCCGAGGTGAGGAGTCCATTGACCATATCATGCGTCCGCTTGTAAAGCGATCTGGGAAAAACTCTCCAGTCTGGCTAGCAAAGCAAGGACGGCAGTGTATCTGTAATTTGCCAACATAACATCTCGTAAACTCAGGACACTTAGTTCCATCTGAGATACCCTTCAATGCCATATACATGGTCTGATTAAATCTCTCAAAGTGGGTTAGCTTAAGATATCTGGGTTTCTCTGAAGCAATTATTATTATTCCTTTGGGTTCCTAGTGGAACATAGCGCTTCAACTGCACGTCTCCACTTGCTTCTGTCTTCTGCTGTACTTTTCACCTGCATCCATCTCAGTTCATACTGTCTCAACTCCTCTTCACCCTTGCACTGACGTCCCACTCGCCACTTCCCTTTCGATCGGGTTCCACTCGAGCGATGGCCTGACGCGAGAGCGATTTCACCCAGCGGCCGCCTCAGCGAGTGTCCAATCCATCTCCACTTTCTCCTGCATATTTGCTGTTGGTGGGCGATTGCTTCTTGTTTTGTTTGTTCCCATAGTTTCTTGTTGTTAGTGATTCTTTCCGCCCTCCCCGGCCATCTGATCTTCACTATAGATCCAGCGAAGACAGTTAATTGTTGATAAAGGTAAGGTCTGCAACAGGCTGTTGGCGGAAATATTCTTTGTGACCCACCTGCCAAGTTTCTCATCCGTATAAAAGAACTGACTGACTTGACGTGTTTGTATTGAAAATCCGACCGACGGAATTTTGTTGTTGATGCTGGCTGAGTGACGAAGATTGGTTTCCAGATTGGTTGTTTCAGGTTGATGAGTGAATGTGTTTCTCGCCGCCCCCCCGACACCCAATTCTCGCTCGATTTGACATCCTCGTCCGTTCCGACTTCGTGTAGTTGAGACAATGCTCCCTCCTTAGATAAGTAAGTGAATGAAGTGTAACCTGTTTCGAATCGCTCCCGTTGATGGTGATTGGCACTGGATGTTTCTGTTGTTGCTGTTTTTGGTTGGTTGGTTATTTTCATAACCTCCGTCTTGTTCACCTATGTTCACCTGGAGTCCTGTCTTCGTCAGCTGCTTCTTTGACCAGTTTGTCGGTTTTCGTTTGCCTCTAATTCTTCGATTTTGTGTAGCATCAAACAAAAATCATCCACACGCAAAATCCAGGTCTTCTAGGTTCTTCACGTCGGTCGAGGATAGCCCTCGCTATCTTCTCGTCTCCCACTGTCTGATGCATAATCCAGTCCACCACAATTGAGGATATCATCGTGGGTGATAATAAGCAAGCACCCTTGTCTGACTCTTGTGTTTACTCCAAACGCCTCGCTGAGTTTTCCGTTGTGGATGACTTGACATGTGCCGTTTTCGTACATCTGTTGAGTAAGGTTGATTAATATTTGGGGTACGCCGTAGTATTCGCGTAGTTTCCAAATAACTTCGCGTTCAACGCTGTCGAAGGCCTTCTCAAAGTCTATAAAGTTGAGGTAGAGGTTTGTTTTCCATTCTATGCTTTGTTCGATGACGATGCATAGAGTTGCAATTTGGTCAGAACATGATTTGCCTGACTTTTCTGAATCCAGCTTGTTCGGGTCGGAGTTCTGTATCCAGTGCGTCCTTAGTTCTCTCCAGTATTATGCGACTCAGGATTTTACTTGGCGTCGACAGGAGCATGATTCCTTGCCAGTTCTTGCAGAGTCCTAAGTCTCCCTTCTTCGGTAGTTTCACGAGGTAACCTTTCCTCCAGTCAGTAGGCACCTTTCCCTTCTTCCAAACCTTTTGCAATAATGGAGTCAGCATGTCTGCTGTCGTCTCTGGGTCCACTTTCAGTGCTTCAGGGGTATTCCATCTGGTCCAACTGCTTTTCCAGCTTTCAGAAGCTTGATTGCATTCAAGACTTCAGCTTTCGTTGGAGGATTGGTGTCAGCTTGCAGTTGTGTACACGCTGTTGTTGGTATTTCTGAAGCAATAGCTATCTGAAAATTCAAGCCATCACTATTCATCCGAAAGAAATATGTTCAAATTCTGTCTTTACCATCGTCTTCATGAACAGTCTGTTTTATCAATAAAAGGCTATTATCCAAATAAGTTGTTTTTTATTATCGGAGTTTCCTGTTTATTTTTATTATTCTACTTTTGATCTCTCTTTGTATTAGGCAACTTCATATCGTCATTGTTATGCTTTTTCATCTCTGATTGGAACCAGTTTGGGAGGTTTCCACCTCCCTCACCCCGTCTGTTTTTTATATCTCATCTATTCTGGTTCTTAATGATGATTCAGTAGGCTTGGTGAAATCTTGATGAAATCGTCAGCTTGTTTCAGCTTTCATAGTCACTGTCGTAAATAATTTTCCCGCAATCTTTTTGTTTTTTGGTGGGTAAATTTTATATCTGATATGACATTGCATAAACAAGAATTCATTGCATTGGTTATTATAAAGCATTTACACGTGACTGTGTTTTATCATCTTGTACGACATTTGCTGGGAGGGCGTGGAGTGTAAAGATAAATTTTCTCTTTCTTTTCCAATTGCCATTGTTTGCTATCTCTATAGATTTCGAGTTGTAGAAGAAATTTGGACTGATCCTAATCCGGATACCGACAAGACGGCAAACTCAGATCCCACTGAGACTGATGTGAATGCAGACATCTTGACCGAATCCAAGGCTCCATATACTTTAATAGTGAGTAATCTTTCATGGGTTTACTTGTGTAGATGTGGGAGTTTTTTTATTGGTAGCATTGTTGGTGCTTAGTGTCAGTACAATGGCTTATTTGTACTGATCTTTTGTCTTTTTTTTCTAGATGTATAAACTAGACTAACATAAAGCCTTAGTAGATCAAATAAAAGTCAGAAATTTGTAATTAACGCCTTTCACATTCAATTATTCTGATAACAAAAGGTTTTCAAAATACGTCCACTTTATGCAATTCAAGATATTGTCAGAACTATTATTTTTTGTTTAAGGTACCCAATTAAACTGTTGGTTTTTGGCCCCCTCACCCCGTAAGCAGGTATAGACTGCCTGATTAGAGTCATCGGGATGTTTAGAACCAATTGACTTGAGACTGTTGGTGAAACGTCTCAAAACTCTTTTCAATGGCCGAGATGCATTCACTCTTTGTAGTCTCCTAGATCCATTAAATCCTCACAATGATGTTACAGGACTGGACTACACTGACTCCTAGTTTAGAAATAGGGAGTGAAGTGGTTGGTGGAGCGTGTTGACTGCTCCACTTATTAGGGAAGTTGCATCAGCCAGTGCCAACGGGTTGATCTCTGACGAAATCTCAGCACAGATACATAGGGCTAGTTTCGCATATGCCGGTTTACGCCGTCTCTGGCTTAGTAGACGTGATATTCGGCTGGCTATCTACCAAAGGGCGAGTGTACTGCTCATCAGTCCGCTCCGTCCTCCTTTATGCCTGTGAAAGCTGGCCATTGATAGTGGAAGACATGAAAATATTAGCTGTCTTCGATCATAGTTGCCTGCGTTCTGTCTCACGTGTGAAGTGGTATAATAAGGTGAGCAATATTGAGGTTAGGCGTCTGTTGAGTTCTAGGGAAAGAGAGAAAATCAATAGACGAGGCTGTGAATTTATATCTATTGAGGTGGTTCGGACATGTGTTACGTATGCATGCTTAGCCATTGCCTTCCTCGACACCGGGCAGTGTTAGCTGGTTGGAAAAGAGTTAGTGGTGATGAAACCAAAACATGGCCTTACCAGTCAGTGAAATCCACAACAGTTAGATTAAGCCATCCACATAGGGGAGGGTGTAGACTTCCTGGTTGGGGTCACAGGACGGTAAAAACCAATGAAGGCTGGAGACAATTGGTGATATGGCTCAAGGTGATCATTCTCGGTGATGACTGGCGCAGATGCATCCACTCCTTGTGACTTATAATACTCAATAAAAGTACATTGTCCTTCGATATAACTATTCTTTTTGCGTCATATCTCTGTTTACTGTCTATATTTCGCATTCCGTTTTACTTCTCTGGCTTTGTGTGATAGATCGAGGGAGTGTGGCGACTTAAACTGCTGCACATCGGAGCAAAGTTCTATGTTGGAACCAGTCAGTCAATCAGTTAGGGTTGTCTTTTTGTTCCAATGTATTCTTACTTTTTCGCTCCCCACTTGTGGTGTTCCGCATAATCCAGTCTACCGCAATCAGGAATATTATTGGTGGTAGTAAGCAGCCTTGCCCTAGTCCTGTCTTCACTTTAAAGGCTTCGTTGAGTTCCCTGTCCTCATGATCCTGCAATTACTTATTCTTCCTTCTGTACACCGTTATCCATTAAAGTCCTGTTGAATTTCTTTTCCCTCTACCTTTAGTGTGCTCCATGAAGTATGACAATTTGAGTGAGCACTTGGTTGTCTTTTAATTTAATGAGTTACAGTTGAATTTCACTGAAGAATCCCACATAATAATAATAATAATAATAGAAAAACGACTGTCCAGTGCTACCAAGTTCCCTAATGGTCATTTGATGTTCACAAAGAATCATTAGACGATGGCACCTACTTCGAATTCATTTGAATGGTTTTATCATTTCACATGGAGATTATGAAAGCAGTTTCAGTGTGTTTGCGGAAGGTCTTGCTGGTTGAAACCTGAGCCTGATCTGTTCTCTACAAGATATTTCAACAAGTTTGATAGCTTTCTTACCTGCCACTTGGGGGCTGTTCTTATTCTGGTCCCCAGTAATATTACCCGATTTTATTCAAACTACTTGTTAGTTTTTCAGTAGTATATATTTTTTTAAACTAGTTTATATGTGACGGTCGTGAATTAGCGTGTAGTATCCTTACTGGTTAGATAGGCGTTTTCGACTCATTAAACTTAAGAAACTCAATACTCCTTGTTACTTAACTGTTCATTCAGCATTAAAATCGAGTTAAACAAAACCTTAATCTCTTCAAATGATGAGACTGACGAAAAAATCGCAAAGGTTCTATACTAGGAGGAATTTATGACCGATTCCAGATTAATGAAGTTTTGTCCTTGCCTATACACTTCTGGCTTTGATATATTCATCAAAGCACCTGTCACCCAAATAAGCGGAAGGAGTAACTTCCTTCAAATTTCTCTTGCCGATGGTTAAAGGTGCTTCTTGTTATTGGTCGTCGGGTCACCTCTGTCTTCTGCATGCTCACATGAAGTCCCGTCTTCACCCCACCTACCTCTTTTACCAACTTGTTTTGGGTTTTCACATGTAGACATTCCAGTCTGGGCTTAAATAGTCCTTGATGGCCATACCTTCTAGAGTCTTTTTTTCGGCCCGACGTAATCCCGTCTCCTCTCTCCCTACAGTCTGTTGCATAGTCTAGTTCACCAGGATCAGGAATGTCATTGGTGTGACAATTGGCTTACTCCTGTCCGCACTTCAAAGGCTTCTCTCACTTTTCCACTTTAGGTCATCTGAAACTTGTCATTGTTGTGTAGCTGTGAAATTCGATTGATAAAGACTAGGGGCATTTCATACTGTTAGAGTAGCTTTTTCAAATAACTTTGCAGTCATCTCTATCGAAGGTATTTTCGAAGTCTGCTGCAACAAGCATAAAGAATAAAGTTATGATTTATACGACTAATGTCAAGTCGGTTCTTTGTAGTTGATCATTTGGCTTGTCATCAAAAGTACTTCACTCAATTCTATGTCGAAAAAAGGACTCAACAGCGAAAGAAAATAAAACTAACATCATCTACAAAATAAATTGTAGCAACTGCGAAAAACACTACATTGGCCAAAGTGGAAATTCCCTTCGTCTTCGTATCCACGAACATAGGTTAGCCGTCAAAAGACATGACATCCACTCCCTCATATCACTACATACGGACAAACACGGACATCAATTCGACTGGGACAAGCAGTTTTGAAATATTAGACGGAGGAAACAACAAGAATGCTAGGGAATTTTCAGAAGCTTGGTATTCCAGGGAATCGTCAATCAATAGACACATCGAGATAGACAAAATCTACCAACCGATAAGAAGGAAACCTCACACACAAAAAGTTAAAGAAACAGTCAGTTCCAATACAAGTAGGCTAGAGGGACTTTGAAAAGGCCTTCGACAGCGTCGATCGAGAGGTCATTTGGCAACTACTTCGGTACTACGGGGTGCCATCGACAATTATACACCTCAGCCATCCAACAGTTGTACGACAATGGTGCCTGTATGACAAGTAATCCACAACGGGAAACTTACGGAAGCCTTTGAAGTGAGGACGGGAGTGAGACAAGCTGGCTGTCTACTATCACCAATGATCTTCCTGATTGCAATTGATTGGATAATGCGACAGACAACGGCAACCAACGAGGGAACAGGCATAAAATGGACTCACACAAAAGACTTGGAGGATCTGGATTTCGCCGATGATATATGTCTGATTTCCCATAAACTGGAAGATATGCAAGTGAAAAGTAACAAGTTGGCAGAAGAAGCATCAAAGGTAGGACTTCAAGTGAACATAGATAAAACAGAGGTGATGAAGATTCCTAGCCAACATCAACAGCAGCAACAACAACAGACAACAATCAGCATAATAATAATAATAATAATCACTTTATTCCACAACAATAACAATTTACAGCATGGAATTTTCAGCGTTTCTTTTACATATTGCAATGGTTTAGCTCTGTTTATAATTATATAAATATATAAAATGTTAAAATATTGATAGTTAATAGGAAAAAATAATAAAAATAAATATAAATAAAAAACCCAACAAAATCATACCATTTCTAGGTCATAGTGAATAATAAATAAATAATATAACAAATAACACTTGCATTAATATGCATCATTACATTTTATAGTTTAGTTACTGATTCAAAAGTTGTAAAAGTTCTTTTCTGATATTTGTCTCTTCACACAATACTCGTGCCAAATATGGAACGGTCGAATTTTTATATTTTGTAGTACGAGCATAAATGTTTATAAAATTTCTTCTGGTCTTACCCGAAGAGATACAAGGAAACAATTGTGAATAAAGAGGATGTTCACTATCAGATAAGATAACTTTAGCTAAGTGTTTACAAGAATTCATATGCCTATTGACAACAGTGTCATTTAGTTCAGTCAAAGGGATAGCACTGACCCTACTTACAGCCCTCAATGTTCTTCGTAGTATTATATGATCTTTCTTGAGTAGCCCAGGGAAGAATAATGGAGAACAATAAAGAATGATGGGCAAAACACATGAATTAATAAATTGTATGATAAGAGATTGAGTTATACCTGAGTGTCTCAACTTCTTTATGTAATAAGTCAGACGGAAAACTTTCTTAGAAACTATAAGAATATGAGACGACCAGCAAAGATTTGACGAGAAACTAATGCCAAGATAAGAAACACTTGACTTACTCTCTATCATGGTACCATCAATATTACAACAATCATGAGATTGAATCAATCCATGCATGTCTTTTTCACTTCTCAAGCTGAAATCAACAGTGTTACATTTAGTTGGATTTAGTTTAAGACCATTTGAGCCAGACCAATCCTTAACTTCAGCTAGGAAGCCATTCATATAGGAACAATCCGATGTGGAAACTACAGGGACAGAAACGGTCAGGTCATCAGCATACTTAATGAAGTTAACTTTGGGTGAGTTCGGAAGGTCATGCAGAAAGAAAGAGAAAAGAAATGGAGAAAGTACTGCACCTTGAGGCACACCACTTTCAGTTAGCTGGGAAGTGGAGCGCTTTCCAGCCAAAACAGTATGCTGTTTCCTATCCTTAAAATAAGAAGACAGCCATCTAGTTGCCCAGGACTCTGTTTGTGCTGAAATCATCTTTCCTAATAAAAGTGTCCTAGGAACAGAGTCGAAAGCTGCAGTATAGTCTAAGAAAGCTGTTCGAACGAACTTAGCGCCCTTATCAAGGCAGGAAACAATATTGTGGTGTAGTACAATGGCTGCATCTAATGTACTTCTTCCACACTTATAAGCAAACTGCTTAGGGTCACTAAAAGCTTTTAAAGAAGGTTTAAGAATATTCAAAAGAAGTTTCTCCATAGTTTTCAAAAAAGGAGATGTTATAGCGACTGGTCTAAATTTTATACCTGCTCCAGAAGATGATTTCTGTACAGGTACAACCTTGATTTCTTTCCAGTCAGCAGGTACCGTTTCCCTCTTAAATGATGCGTTAAAGATTTGAGTAAGAGGATGACACAAGATGTCTGCACACTTTTGGAGAAGAATGCTTGGTACACCATCTGGACCAAGGCTGTGTGTTGGATTTAATGACTTCAAACATAATAGTACATCCTTTTCTTCAAAACCCTGAAAATGACCATTTTCTTGACTAGGTACATCAGGTACAACCATATTAATTTGTTTCTTGATAAATGATTTGTTTAAAGCATTAACATCAGAATAAGCATCAACGGACATTTGTTTTTTACTTGTTAGTTTATTGAAAAGTTTCCAAATGTTTGAAGGATTTTTACATGATAAAAATTTTTCATTATATAGTCTGTTCAACCTTTCTATTTCAATTTTTATAAGGGTGTTTATTTTACGGACACCAGTATTATCACAATTCTTATACAACTTCTCTTTTTGTCTTCTAAGTTTTTTCAGTTGCACAGAAGAGATTCTGTCAAATCTCGAAAACAGTGTTTCATAAGGACAGCAAATATCCAAACAAAACTTCAGATAATCGGTTATATTAGAGACAGTAGCATCCAACTTATCGTCAGTAAACAGTTCCCAGTTGGTATCATGCAACATGCTTCTTAATGCTAGAATGTTGTCATGGGAATATGAACGTTCATGTATCTTCTTTGTTAAATGACTAAACAATTTTCGTTGTGACTTGCCGTACACTTTCGGTAAAATACGAATAATGCAGTGGTCAGAATTTAGCAAAGGAGCTCTCCTTCGGGTTTCATATACATCACGGTCATTTATGAAAACCAGGTCTAGTGATTTGTCCAGACGTGTATTAAACTTGACTAGATTCTCATGACCAAGCGAAGTAAGAAAGCTGTGATCACATAAATTAAAATCACCACAGACTATAGACAACGAGTTTCCGAATGCAGGAGCAGCGAATTCAGTAAACTCATCTGCAAACATAACTATATTAGAAAGGCTACAATTGGGTGTTATGTAAATATTTGTTATGTATATATAAGAATATTTACTTAAGTGTTTTGGGCGACACCTGACGGTTATGCAATCTATATTGTCATTAGAATAATTGAAGCAAACGTGATTTGATGTAGACCAATTTGTGTTTATATATGTGGCTACCCCTCCTCCATATTTTTTCTTGGAACTATTTCTATCTTGGCGAAAAACTTTATATCCATTTATTGAAACTAGATTATCATCATAATGCTGGTGCAGCCAAGTCTCTTGTATTGCTAAAACGCCAGCATTTCGATAAACATTGGAATACATTAGGGATTGAAGGTAATCCATTTTGTTGGACAGGGATCTACAATTAGTGCTAACGAGTTCAGGAACAGTCATTTGATTAATTTGTGTACGTTTCAGTGCACGCTGCCAGCCACAGTGATGCTTTTTTCTCAATTTTTGTGGATGACACAACGCGGTAGGTTGTAATGATTTTAAAAATGCGCGATTATATATAATACGATTAGGACACATTATTGATAAATTAAAACAAAATTAAAAGAGCAAACCAAAGCAATTTTGCAAAATGTTGTAAGGTGGAATTTTTGGTAGCCCTATGTTCAAGCAGGCCGCCGCATAAGTGGGAAGAACCTGAAAGAAACAACCTCCTTCACCTACCTGGGAAGCATCGTCTCAACTACAGGCGGAACTGACGAGGATATCAAAGCAGCGAGGATCGGAAAAGCAAGACAAGCTTTCATTACTCTCAAATCTGTGTGGAGGTCAACAGCACTCATCATCAAAAATAAGATCCGGATTTTCAACTCCAATGTAAAGTCAGTGCTACTATACGGATCAGAGACTTGGCCAGCGCGTCATGAAGAGCATCTCAAACAAACTTCAGACCTTCATTAACAGCTGTCTCCGCTCAATACTCAAGATCAGATGGCCAGAAAAGATCAGCAACAGGGATCTCTGGGAGCGAACCAATCAGGAACCGATTGTGAAACAAATAGGCAGAAAGAAATGGAGATGGATTGGCTGGCCATACGCTGAGGAAACCATCAAGTGACATCACTAGACAAGCCCTCGAGTGGAACCCGAAAGGGAGGCGGCGAGTTGGTCGTCAATGTAAGGGTGACTTGGAGGAGGTCATGCGAGGAGGAGATGAAAGCATGTGGACAGACCTGGAGCAGGGTGAAAAAGTTGTCAGAAAACCGAAGGCAATGGAGGTGCGCAGCTGAAGCCCTATGTTCCTCTAGGAACTAAGGGATACAATAATAATGATAATAATAGAGGGAGTGGAAACACACGAAAACAAACCATCACGTCCAAGGTCACCGACCAGGAGAGATGACTAGTAAATTCGTGGAGAAATCTAAAAGCTCACTTCAAATTGAAGTATGCGCTGAAGATGTCGCCTAGTAGGCTGATGAAAGCTTCGCAAATCAACTACCTAGCTCAGAGAACCCAACCACATCAAAATCATCCACCTGAGCTACAAATCTTCTCTATCATATATAGCACTTCAAACAGGTTTAAAAATTTCAACAGCAGCTGCCTTATTTTCTCCACACTGAATATCAGATGGCTGGTTACAGAAGATTTGCAACAGGGAACTCTAAAAGACAACGAATTAACTAAGAGCCTATTGGCCAACAAATATTCCGAAGAAAATGAAGACAGTTGAGTACCGTTGCGCTCCAGACCCTCTCTATTGGAATCCGAATGAGGAATAACGGGTTGTTCATGGGTCCGAGTGTGACATGGAGTAGATCACATGGGATGAGGAGATAGACGAGGGGCTTTGGACAATCTGGAAGCCAGCTAAAGACGACTGCAGAAAACAGGTTGAAATATGGAGATGTCCCGTTGAAGTCCTATATGTTCTGCTTGGAACCTAAGGGGAATAATAATCATGATACTGAAAGGAATCCAGTATTTTTTGTTACAACTCAGAAATTTTGTGTTAGGCAGTGAGATATATTTTATCAAATTTATGGTACTGATCAGTTATTTAATCTAAATCCTACTAGGTGGATCAGATATGCTTACTGCTGGCTCACTGTCAGGTGTTTAATTCCATATTTCTTACAGTTCCATGGACTATCTGGCTCTGTATACGCCTGCGTAGAGCCTCCAGCCGCTCATTTGTAGTATCTCAGCAATGCCGGCTGCAAAGTCTGTATCCCCTGCCCGACACTGAGACTTGCCGTCAATGACTTTATGAATGATATTGACACTATGTTTTCCTTTAACCATCCATTCTGATTCTACTACATGTGTAACATTGCTTGTCAGGGTAGGGAATATAAGGTAACTTTGAGTGTATGACATAACTATTCGGCCTACCTTAGTCTATGACGACTCACAAATTCATTGCGTCTGTGGCACAGCAGTAGAATGCTCGCCGACTACGCCGCACGTGGTTCGCAGTTCGATCGCCGGCCACCGATGCACTCCTTTAACTCGCTAGGTTAGTAAAGAGAGAAGAAACTTCAAAGTTCTGCTTCGTAGGCGCCCTATGTTCCACTGGGAGTGGAAAAGAATATAGTAAAAATAAAATAATAATAATAATATAGTCAGAGATCACACTTTTAACTTGTATGCATTATATTTCTTTCGAACATTTATCATTAACTATCATTTTACATAACTTTTTTTGTGTTTGAAGGGTTCAGTTGTGGCTGATGGACTAGGTGTAACCTGTTGGTGGGTCAGCTGATCTCTGGATCGATCACTCTGCATCGATTTCTGGATCGTGAGATAATGGAATTGTGTTTTTTTTATATTTTTAATATGACCATGGATCATTCACAGAAAGAGAGAGAGAGAGAAAGAAAATGCGCGCGCGTGTGTGTATGTCAGGACAAGAAGAAAATCCACCATTTTTAACCCTCTCTGCCCCCCTCTTTTATCTTTTTTATCAGAGAAAAAAAAGAACCAACCAACAAAAAAAACAACAAAACAAATAACATCAAAAAACAACAACTCATTATTTATTTTTGTAATATTGACCAGACAAGAAAATAGAATAAAGAAGTGTATTTCATTGTGTGTTAGTTACGATTTTATTTTTTATCGTTATTATTATTATCATCATCATCATCAGTATTATGGTTCGTTATTTCCTTCACATTGTGTTTGTCTAGTAGGTATTATTATCACAGAGAAAATTTGAAAAAACGAACAAACATTTAAACAACAACATTTAAAAACAGAATATAAGAAGGACTCAAATAGTTGAATCCGTTTTATTATGTGAAAATTGGAAGCAAGATAGACAGATCGATCGATCGATCGATCGATAGATAGATAGATAGAAAGAAGGAATTTGTGGTTTGCATGAGAAGTGATTGTGTGAATGAGTAGCACTCTCTTTCCTCGGTGTTTACATATATATATATATATATATATATATATATATATATATATATATATATATATATATGAAGGATAAGATAGATAGATTTTATCTCATACGCGTATCTTTTTCTCCTCAAAAGTTAGATCTGTGCATATGAATGGGAGAAGAAGAAAGTTGTCTGATTTTTTGGTTAGTGGTGATAAAGACTGTTATTGTATGTGCATATATATATATATAATATTCGTTATTTGTGAGTGTGTGTGTATATATACAAAATGTTTGTGTATTAGCATAATAATCTACAACCGGGTAGGTGTTTGTTTAGATATGCTCTCACCGGATGTGTAGCTGCTGGCAAATGAGCCAATTCAAGATAATTTAAGCGTGGATGTCGAGCCAGTGTGCATAGCCCATCTTCACTGATTCGCTTACAACCTGTATGAATGAAATGAGGAGAAATTAGATGGGTTGTATAGGTAAAAAGTGATACACTGAGTGTTGTAGTCGTCTAAAATAAGGATAAATTGTCTATGCGAATTTATGAGAATATGTGCATGCACAGAACCAAATATCTATGCAATACTTACATTTTGTTAACTCTTGCATTCTACCTTGGATTATTATTATTATTACTATTGTGTCTTTCCTGGACTTACCTACATCATGTTAATTTCTAGAAACATACTTCGTCTAACGTTCTGAGTAAAGAAGTTGAAACAATCTCTGGTATCACGCACTCTCACGCACAATTACAGTTTCTTAATTCTTGTATTCTATCCGCCTATTCTTGATATAAGCATAAAACTTGGGCACTGTGTGGCGGTAGAGTATAACTACTCCATTATGGATAAGATTTTATTTTGATAAACTGTCACACACACACACAGTGTAGTGTTTCTTATACAGTAAGTAATATTAACTGATGCGACCACACGCCATTTAGAGCACAATTTATTATTATTGCCACTCATAATCATATCAAGTCACTCAGTCAGTCACTCACTCACACCACTTTCTTGTTTCCTTCATTTATATACATGAGTGGAATTGATGATTAGACATTTGAATACAAATCAGTATAGGGTAATCAATCTCTCTCTCCACCTATCCATATTACTTCTTAGAATGGTTGACCCCGAGAAGATAAGTAATTTAGAAGACAGCTCAGCGCTACATTGCACCGCATGCATCAACACACAACCACACAATAGCATGGTGGGAGAGGGTTAAAATTCTAAGATGTGATCTAAGCAGGTGAAGAGAAAGAGAGATTGATTACTGAATCCTGGCTGGTTCATCGAGTCTACACCCAATACATGCAACAGAAATAACTCAATACAAATACCAGAAATATAGAAGATATTATTACCACCAGTCAGTCAGTGAAATCAGAGGAGGATAATAAATAATCTCAAATTGTATTCTATTTCAATTCAATTCACGTACATCATCACAACATTCTAACAAGTTACTTATTTGGACTATAATCACACCCGTCTTATTTCCCATCTGATTGTAATTGATCACTCATAACACTCATATTGATATTATTATTATTATTTCTGAATGTACATTATCTCATATTACTGATTTGTATTCAAATGTCTAATCATCAATTCCACACATGTATATAAATGAAGGAAACAAGAAAGTTGTTTGAGTGAGTGAGTGACTTGATGTGATGATTATGAGTGGGAATAATAATAAATTGTGCTCTAAATGGCGTGTGGTCGCATCAGTTAATATTACTTACTGTATAACAAAGACTACACTGTGTGTGTGACAGTTTATCAGAATAAAATCTTATCCATAATGAAGCTATCTATTCTTCTTTATTACTCTCCTTTAGTCTTTTTTGGACTTATGCTTAGGAAAGCCTTTGTTACAACACTGAGAAAGGCATTGAAAACTGTCAATAAGGCGAGTGAATTACCACTAAGCCAACAACGCGTTAAACACCACTGTGGAAAGACACTTAAATCTATGCAGGCAATTGACAAATATTATCTTGTCGAATTCTGAACATTCTGTTTATTCTCAATTTGCCTCTTGCATCTCACCAGGTACTACTGGAAGAAATAAAACTATAGAAGACTGTATGCTCGGACGACGAAGTATAAAAAAAAAACAACTCTAAATTGGATTATCTGGAACAAATTTTATATAATGAGAAGAGTGTTAGGCGGGGAACTACTAATTCACTGAGAGAAACACACTAAGTAAATGGCCTTTTTCTTATTCTTTTTTTCATGCATCCAGTCAAGGGTGAGGATAGATCTCCCCACCGATGATATTGGGTAGGTGTTCGCGCTAAATATGACGAATCGGTAGAAGTTAGAATACATGGGCCATTCAGTTTGGGTCCCAATGACTAGCTGAAAGGTAGACAAGCTTGCTTTGCAAATGGAAGTGATCAGCACATTTCTTTTGTTTCACTTCTCTGGTAATTGAGCTTCCTTCCCAATCTGTCAGTGACTGGCTTCTTATGTGTTAATCTCCTCTCGGATAATGACCTAGTTTAGATGGAGAATATATTTGTAGCTCAGGTGGAGAAACAAAAAAAATCTAAAAGCTCACTTCAAATTGAAGTATGCTGTGAAGATGTTGCCTAGTAGGGAGGGGAATCAAAACTTCGCCACTATAAACCATCCAGCTAGTTCAGAGAACACAACTACATCAAAATGATGAAGGGAACTCATCATGGGTAGAGAAGCTCTCGGAGAAATGAATGAAAATGGAGAACTCCTCGCCGACCTCTGCGCCTTCAACGAACTAGTGATTGGTGGCAAATGTCCACAAGGCTACATGTGTGTCACCAGATGGGTAAACCAAAAACCAAATTGACTTCATCTCAATACTGCTCAAGGAAGTGGAGGCGCAGCCTACTGGACACAAAAGTAAGAAGAGGAGCAGACGTTGGCTCAGACCACTATCTCGTACAAGGGACAATCCAAATCAAATTAAAACCTTTCAGGGAAACAGGGGCTGCAGAAAGAGCACAAGCCAAGTTCAACACTCAAAAACTGAAGGACCAGGCTACAAAGGACATCTTCACTGCAAGCATAAAGCACCAAGCCGAGACACAAATCAACACTAGCGAAGAGGTCGGCGTCGAAAAGCACTGGGACAAATTGAAAACGGTGTGGAGTCAAACCTGCATGGAAGTTCTAGGCAGAAAGAAGAGACAGGACAAACAGTGCCTCACTACGGACACTTGGAAACTAATGGAAGAGAGAAGGACAGTGAAACAAAAGACTATCCAGTGCACTGACGAGCAACAAAATCAGGAGTTGAATGCAAGCTACAATATGCTGAACAGAAGAGTGCCAGGGAAGACAAAATAAAATATTATGAAGCCATTTCAAGTGAAGCAGGACAAGCTGCAGGCAAAGGAGACCTCGCCACACTCTACCAAACAACTAGGCACCTTTCGGGAAAACATTCGACACAGATTAAGCCAATAAACGACGACTATGGAAAGTCAATCACCAAAGAGGTGGAGCAAAGAAAACACTGGGCTGAACACTTCAAAAGACTTCTAAGCCGACCGCCACCTACAATGCGCCCAACAATACCAACAACGGAAGCAGAACTACCAGTGAACATCGATCCCCCGACGAAATCAGAAGTCCTGAATGCAATCAAGATGCTAAAAGCAGGAAAAGCAGCAGGACCAGATGGAATCCCAGCAGAAGCATTTTAAATGGATACAAAGACAACAGCGGGCTTGATGGTGCCACTGCTGGAGAAGGTGTGGAAAGAGGGCAAAGTATCCGGGGATAGGAAGAAAGGATACTTATTCAAACTGCCAAAGAAAGGAGACTTAAGTCAATGCGAAACCTGGCGTGGAATTATGTTCCTGTCCATCCCAAGCTAAATACTAAGCTGCATCATTCTGGAGAGAATCAAACAAGCCAACCTGGATGAAAAACTTCGACCGGAACAAGCTGGATTCAGGAGAAATAAGTCATGTATTGATCGAATCGCCACACTACGGATCGTCATTGAACAAGCTTGGAATGCCAGTCACCTCTCTACCCCACTCAACTTCATCGACTTTTAAAAGGCCTTCGATAGCGCGCAGCGTCGATCGAGAGGTGATTTGGTAACTACTTTGCTACTACCAAGGGATGCCGCCAACAATTATACACCTCAGCCATCCAACAGTTGTACGACAATCCTGCATGCCAAGTAATTCACAAAGGGAAACTTACGGAAGCCTTCGAAGTGAGGACGGGAGTGAAGCAAACTGGTTGCCTACTATCGCCAATGATCTTCCTGATTGCAGTAGATTGGATAATGCGACAGACAGCGACGGGCAGTGCGGAAACAGCCATAAAATGGACACACCAAAAAAACTTGGAGGATCTGAACTTCGCCGATGATATATGTCTGATTCACCACAAACTGGAAGATATGCAAGTGAAAAGCAACAAGCTGGCCAAAGATAGGACTTCCTTCAGGTGAACATAGAGTAAACAGAGGTGATGAAGATTCGTGGCCAACACCAACAGCAACAACAACAAGAACAACAGACAAAAATCAGCCTGCATAAATGGGAGGAACCTGAAAGAAACAACCTCCTTCACCTACCTACCTACCTACCTGGGAAGCATCGTTTCAACTACAGGCGGAACTGACGGGGATATCAAAGCAGCGAGGATCGGAAAAGCAAGACAAGCTTTCATTACTCTCAAGTCTGTGTGGAGGTCAACAGCACACAGCACACACCACTCAGCATGAAAATGAAAATAAGATCCGAATTTTCAGCTCCAATGCGAAGTCAGTCAGTGCTACTCTCCATACGGATCAGAGATTTGGCCAGCGCGTCATGAAGAGCACCTCAAACAAACTACACACCTTCATTAACAGCTAGCTGTCCTGGTTCAATACCACTCAAGATCAGATGGCTGGCCAGAAAATATCAGCAACAGGGATCTCTGGAAATGAGCGAACCAACACAGCAAGAACCGATTGTGTGACAAATAGGCAGGAAGAAGTGGAGATGGATTGGCTGGCCATACTCTGAGGAAACTAACCATCAAGTGATTGACATCACTAGACAAGCCATTGCTCGAGTGGAAGCTGCTCGAAAGGGAAGCGGGCGGTGAGTTGTTCGTCAGTGCGAGGGTGACTTGGAGGAGGCGATGTGAAGAGGAGATGAAAGCATGTGTGCAGACTTGGAGCATGGTGAAAAAGTTGGCAGAAAACAGAAGGCAATGGAGGTGCACAGCTGAAGCTGTTTGTTCCTCTAGGAATTAAAGGATATAATAATAATAATAATAATTTTGATATAGTGATCTCAGATATTTGCTAAGTGCAACCTGTTCTGTTAATATATGTATAAAACTTGGGCACTGTTTTAGTGAGTAATTCCATATTGGTTTGTTTATTAGATGTATCACATAGTCACAGAAACAGTACTATCATTTACTGGATGACGTTTCGAACAAAATTTATTATTGTTCATAATCATTTCATCAATTATAATCACACGACTTCCAAACTTGAATTGAGGTCAGAAGCAACCTGTTCTGCTCCAATTCTCAGTGTTTCGTGCAAGCGTCTTTTGTCTCGCCTAGAACTCATATTCGCTGTTTCGTTCACCTCACTTTGTCGTTTTCCACTCGAGGTTCTGGCTTGTGGTATCTATCGCTCAATGGTCTCCTCGAAGTGTGTCCTCCAATTCATCTCCATTACCCTAGGCATATTTATCAGGCGGCAGGTTTCTAGTTAGTTCATTTCCAGAGTTCCTCGGTGCTAATCGCTGCTGGCCGGCTATCTAAGCTTCAGTAAAGATCGAGGGGAGCATTTTTTGCTAAAACTCTGCAGTAGCCTGTTGGAAACTTTTCTTCTTGCTACACGCCAATCCTCTGGACCACAAAAAGAAGAACTAATTAGACTAGCGTTTTTTTTAATCCAATTTTTTTGTTCTTTATTCTGAGTCCAGTAGATTTCCACACCGATTTTAGAGTAATATTAAGGTTTGTTTTGTTTTCCCAGTGTCATCTGGGCCTCCTGTGATTGAAATGATGCCTTTCCAAGATAGGTGAAAATGGTGACTTCCATTAGATTCCTCCTCTGCTGATGGCAACTAGTGCCTGCTGTTGTTATTAGTTAGCTATCTTCACACCTCTGTCTTCTCTGTATGCTTACCTGGAGTCCTGTCTTCGCTTCCCCCCTCTGCCAACATCTCACTCAGTCTTCTCCTGTACATCTTCGATATTATGTGATATACTGGACTTAAATCTTCAGAGAAGTTCAGATCTTCTAGAGTCTGCTTTTCTATCCAATCAATGTATGCCTCCTATCTCGGTACTCATGGTCTTCCGCACGACCCAGTCGTCGATGATATTAGGCAGCTTCATCTTACTTCTGTCTTCACTTCAAAGATTTCTCTGAATTTTCTGTTGTGAATCTGTCAGTTAGAATTATATTAGTTCTGTGACGACAGAAGACAAGGGCCAGCCAAACAGATCGTTTATTGAAAAAATCAACCGATATTTATAGATTTTTATGTATGTTATTATTCCTTATTGTTAGCAGAGAAGTAAACTTTTCTGATTGGTTACAGGAATTTGTTTTTTTTTATTACAGCTTGATTCCACACTGCATTTTTGGTACAAGTATGGAATTCTCAGCATGTGAAATCGGTAGCCCGAATTTCGCAATCCGACCATAGATATCAGGTGTGCGTCAGTGGTAGGGGATCGAACCTCGGAACATGTGCACAGTCGGTGAGGGTCCTAAGCACTGTGCCACCGACACACATCATGAGCTGACAGTGGTTGGAGAACTGTTGGAAAACCTGGGAGTACTGGACAGCTGTTTCGTCCTAGTTTGGGACCCTTCATCAGTACGCACCCACCGGAGTTTGAATTCAGGACTTTCTAATTACAAGGCTAGCTAGTAGACCGTTAACCCATTGAGACCCGATCCAATGGCCCATGAATTCTAACTTCTGCCGATTCACGCACGACATAGCTCGACGACTAGCCAATGTCTTCGGTGAGTATTTGTCCCAACACCCGACCTGTTGCATCCTACTGGCCATGATTGGTTGTTTTTCTGCTGAAGGTTATTCTGTCGTCTGTTTGTGGCCGTCTCTTAGAAAGTCAGGCCATGTATCTGCAAATCATATCTGCCCACGCTAAGTCTGCTGTGATTGGTTGTTGAGTTCGCAAGGTTAGGCTTTTTTTTTTTTTTCGCATGATCAATTCCCAGACATTGCCGAAGCATCTGCACAAGAAGCCAACATATATGTCAACCTGAGACCGAGAACTTCGGTCGAATCAATCGGTAGGATAAATCTAAAATTCAATTAAATAATTAATATGACCCGTTGCACAAGAGTTGACCAGCTCTCGTGGCCCAATTGGTTTAGTGGATAACGCTTTGGCTAGTGCTTAAAACTATGGGCACTGGGTTCGAGCCTCCGTGGTGGGAACATCATCACTGACTCACTTGAAAATGCAGGTACATCCAGCTGGCAGACGAGTCCCAAATAGGACGAAATGCGCGTTATCCTGGACTGCATTCCACTGCTAGTCACCACCCACCAAATAAAATTCGTATCCAATTATTTTAAAAGGGGATTTTGCCGAATAAGTATATTTTGATTGTAGTCAGTGTTCATTCAACATTGGAGTGAATCAAAGAGTTGAATTCTTTCTGTGATGTTATAAATAATATTAATATAATCAGTCATGGTTTTGTTTTATTCTTTCTGTTATTGTACTCATTATCACAAAACAAAAAAAACTCCCCTTTGAATACATTTTGCCTCTGCACAGCACGGTTATTTTTTGTAAAACTTGTATTTAACACAACAAAGTAACACTGTTAGTGTCTAGTGGTGGTAGACTTACCGCTTAAACATAAATATTTCAATCCTGTTGTACTAAGTAAGTGGGGTATACTGCCATCAGATATATTTATGCACCATCTTACACTGAGATGTTGAAGATTAGGCATTGTCGCCAGATGGCTTATTCCAAGATCAGTCAGTTCTGTACATCTGTTGTTGTTGTTGTTAGGGGAGACATAAAATATAAGCAAACAAGCAAAAACAACATTTTATTGTAAGATTGGAAAATTAAGCGGGGAACAGGTTAGTAAATAGGTAAGTAAGTAGGTAAGTAAATAAAACTGGTCACTGGATAAAAAAGGATATTCAAAATATTCTCTATAGGCCACTTAGTTTTTCTCTGTAATGTCGGCCAGCTAAGTCGGTGGTTCAATAGGAGAATACTCACCAGCTAGGCGGGATGTCTGGATTCAAATTCCAGCCAGCGCACTCCTAAACCTCGCCTAGCCAGCGGCAAGATTGAGAAAGAGAGAAAAGGTTGGAAATGAACAGCTCCACAGCTACTGAAACGTGGAAGCTTGAAGTCCTATATAGGTTCTTGGTTCGATTATCGGTGGGGTCTGTCTGTCCGTCTGTTTTCGACATAGACCTTTGCACAAATGTGCACCAGTTCAATTCGCCACACTCCCTCCATGTAGCACACAAAGCAACAGAAGAAGGTACAAGAAAAGCATAATAGAGACAGTAAGTAGAGGTGTGAGACAAAGGAGGAGTAATAACGAAGAACAAAACAGTTTCATTGGAAATCATAAGTCACAAGGAGTGGATGCATCTGCGTCAGCCAGCCATTGAGAACGATTTTGAGCCATGTCACCAATTGTTTTCAACCATAGATTTTCCCCGTCCTGAGGACCCCAGCCAGGAAGTCTACACCTTCCTACGTGGTTGGCTTAATCTAACTGTTGTGGATTTTATTGACTGGTGAGGCCAAGTTTTTGTTTGACCGCCACTAGCTTTTTTCCAGCCTGACCCTACATCCGCTAACATTGCTCGTCGAGGGAGGTGATGACCAGGCATACGTAACACATGTCCTAACCACCTCAGTCTTTGTAACTTCACGACTTCGTCGATTGATTTCCCCTGTTTACCTAGAACTCGACCGATGCCTTACCTCAATATTGCTCACCTTATTATGCCACTTTACACGGTAGGGAGATAGAACGCAGGCACCTATGATCAAAGACAGCTAGCTAGTCTTTTCATGTCTTCCACTCCCAGTGGCCAGGTCTCACAGCTGGCCATAAAGGAGGACGGAGCGGACTGATGAGCAGTACACCCGCCCTTTGGTCGATAGTCGAACATCTCGTCTACGACAGAGTCGGCGTAAACTGGGAAATGCGAAACGAGCCCCCTGTATCCGTACTCAGCTGAGATTTCATCAGAGATCAACCCGTTGGGGCTGATGGTACTTCCCAAATAAGTGAAGCGGTCAACATGCTCTATCGGCGGGGTGCTTCCGAAGAGTCCCATAGCAGGACTGTACAACTGTCTTATGGTTCTCTAAATGATGTTTACCTGGCGGGGTGGGGGGGAGGGAACTTGAAATCAACACTTCAGAAAAGTTCAAATAGTTAAGAGAACACAAGTAAAGTTAATTTTAGTTCCCCGCTGCATTGATTGATAAGAAAGAATCATACAATTCACCATGCTATTTTATCCCTTCCTTTCAATTGTGATCTGTTCTCAAAAGAATGGATACTGAACAAAGAATAAATACTCTTTTCGATAACCCCTTCATCATCATCACGCTCTACAGTTATATATCCATCCATTATAGTGAATGAATGAATGAATGAATTAGTGTTATGGACAACAACATTAATGTTGCTGTTTAAATAACATCGAATCAATAATAACAATAATAATACCAGTGGATTACAGTTCAATAGAATCAACATAACAATAAGCTGAATGTCAGTTGAATTAGGAAAGATAATATTACAAATTCATGAATTTCTAGTCTCTACTAAATGCTGACTAGGGCATTAGTAGTGGCTAGCTGGCTGAACTTGCTTCTTTTGAGCACACAGCACTAGTTGTTTGAGGCGAATTGCAATAGCCTCTGGTGTTTGAAGCATTCGGTGCTTCGATGATGATTTCGGAAATTTATTAGGCACCCGGTAGATGATGGAGAAGAATTCTTCCACGCTGGCTGGCTTTGTGGCCGGCCAGTTTGCACCAGATGGTTCAATATCGAACTGTTAATGGTTTTCACTACACTTTTACTTAGACATAATAGGAGATGTTCTCGAGTCAGCGAGCACGAAAAATCAAGTTCTTAGAGCAACGGCCAATGTAACTTGCTCCACTTCAAGTGCAGTTGAACTGGTAGATACAATTAGAAGTGGCTAGTCTAGGTACTTCATCTTTCATTCGAAATAGCACCATCGGTCGTGTAGAGAATAAGAAGTGTAGTTCACCGCCAGCATTATAAGTTCTTTGAACTTATTCTCTTAATTTCTTCTTAATTGTCTCACTTAGTATATCACCCTTGAATTGCAGTTGTATATAAATTGGCTTCTTGTATAGGGATAGTGAGTAGTCCTTTTCCGCCGCTTTCTTTGTCATGTGTTTCTTGATAAATCTATCGGGGTAGCTATTCTCGATCAAAGTATCATATACAAGGCTTACTTAATTCATCTTCAATTACTTCTTCTGAGCATATAGCTGTAACTAACTCTGTGGCTCTAGTGTAACAACAGAAGACAAGGGCCAGGCAACAGATCGTTTTATTATGAAAATCAACACGTATTTATACCTCTTTCAACTACATTATTATAGACAAGCGCAGTCATCTGATTGGTTGTTTAGGTAGACAAACGCAGGCTTCTGATTGGTTGTTTCGGGATTCCTTGACAAATAGAGTTCTCTCTGCGAATCATATTCTGCCACGTTAACTTTGCTGTGATTGGTTGTTGACTCAGGCTTGTTCATATTTTCTCACGGCCCATATTAGTGACCTAGACCTTAACGTAGATTAGTGCCAACCAATCGGCTAGCAGCCTGCTCTCACCACACTAGCATCTGCGTTTTCGATGATAAATTCAAGGGAAGTGAATATTTTCTGTTTCATTTTCCACAAGGACTCTGAGTTTCACTAAACCAGTTTAATTATTAATGAATGATTGCTAAGCCCCATAATGCTGAAATACAATCTAATTAGTGACGTCTTTGGCTGTAAAAGTACACAATATAGTGTAACAGTAACTTATCTGACTGACTTATATTCTTAGCATAGTATTTATTGACGACAAAGACTACGGCTTTGCATGCTTATTACACAATCCTACCTATCTAGTCAGTTACTCACTTTGTCTAACATTCTGATTAATAATCATTACAAAATTAGCTGTCTTTCATCACAACGTATCAGTGTTCTGTCTTCCGTTTCAAGTCGTATAATAGGGTGAGTTATATCGAATGTTGCGGGTTGAGTGTAGGGTAAGGAAGGGGAAATCAATCGACAATGAGGTTGTGAAGTTACACCGATTGAGATGGTTAGGACATGCGTTAAGTATGCATGCCTAGCCATCGCCTTCCTCGACAACAGAAAATGTTAGCTGAGACTTAGGATGGATCAGGTTGGAAAAGAGTTAGCCAGTGAAGGGTTAAACTCAGGCATGGCCTCATGAGTCAATGAAATCCACAACAATTAGTTTAATGGAGCCATGTAGAAAGGTGTAAACTTCGTGAATTGGATGCTAGGAACGAAAGACGGTTGGAGACAATCGGTGATATGGCTTCAAAATCGTTCTCATTGACTGGGGCAGATGCATTCACTCCAATAAGATTCTATTGTTCCTCTGTATAACTAACTATTCTTTTTGCCTCGTATTACTGTTTATTATCTCTTGTCTGGATCTCTTCTTTATTCTCTTCTCTTGCTTTGTATGATACATGGAGTGTGGCAACTCGAACTGCTGCATTTCTCTGCAAAGCTCTGTGTCAAAACTAGTCAGTCACTGTTGCGATTCATGGCTGAATTCCTTAAATAAATCGGAGTGTTTTTATTTTAGCTGTCTTCAAAGATGACTCACAAACTGATAATGAAATGCATACTTGAGGACTAGACACCCTTTGGTGCTCAGTGAGTAAACATGCACTTTCACACACTGATTTTTGATGCAGTTACATTAAAAAGGTTTGGTTTCTACAATAATTCTGGAAAGTTGCTTTTTGAAAGTGAAACCTTATTGGATTATTATGATATAGAGTATTTTTTACAGGAAACGCTACCAATTGCTGTTTTTCTTGGAATCTAAAAATCAGCATTGTTATGTGTAAACAGTGGCGAAGAATTCACTCACACTACTGACTGAGTGACTGAGATTTCAACGTCGAAATATGCACAAAATATGCAATCCAACTGCTCATATATGTGTAAAAGTTGGGCACTGTGGTGGTGGTAGTAAGTAATTCCATATTAATTTGTTTATTACATGTATCACACAGTCAGTGAGTGAAACAGTATTAGTATTACTTACTGGATGACACAGTTTAGAACAAACTTTTTGTGGTTCATAATCATATTGTAAAATATAATCACACGACTTCGAAACTTGAGTTTTATAGCTTTCTTTGTCCTTCCCCATTTGTCGTCGTTGGGGTAGTAGAATTTTATAGATATCAGGGACAGGTGATGAATCATTCCTATTACATGTATTTGCAGTTGATTCGATAAACAATGCTTCTGTTATCAATCTCTCTCTCCCTACACCCTGTGACATTTGATTTTAAAACTGTCATCTTATCCCATCCAGCCTATTGTAGGGTTGTGTGTAATTGCATGTCATGTAGTGCTATCTACGGCTGAACTATTCTATAGATTTGTTATCTTATTCGGTCGGGTCAACCAATCTAGACTTCGCTGCTAGGTTTTTATGCTCGGCTACTCCGAATCACTGACCCTGTTCTATTACTTTGACCTATGTATTTGACCTGACAATCATTGCAGACAGGGGATTAGATGAACCAAATTGTTTTGTTTTAAAGGCTCCACAGGGTTGATCCTTTAAGTGATAAAGCTTGTTTCCAACTGAGTTTGTGGTTGGTTTGAACGCCAATTACTTTTATTCCTGCCTGTCTTGTTAAGAATTCTGAGTAAGGTGGTTTCCGAGCTTCCTTCCTTGTATGGAATTACTACTGATGAC